CACTCCACTCAAAACGCTTTACAGGTAATGGGGACTCCCCTCCACCACCACCAATATGAAGTCCCACCTGGATGATGCGACGGCAGCCATAGTGCGCCAGTACGCTCACCCTCAGTGGGGAGGAGAGCAGAGTAATGAAGCCAATTCATAGATGGAGATTATTAGGAGGCCATGATTGGCAAGGGCCAATGGGAAATTTGGCCAGGACACCAGGGTTACACCCCTACTCTTTTCGAGAGATGCCCTGGGATTTTTAATGACCACAGAGAGTCAGGACCTCGGTTTTACGTCTCATCCGAAGGACGGCGCCTTTTTACAGTATAGTGTCCCCGTCACTAAACTGGGGCATTAGGACCCACACAGACTACAGGGTGAGCGCCCCCTGCTGGCCCCACTAACACCTCTTCCAGCAGAAACCTGTTTTTCCCAGGAGGTCTCCATCCAGGTACTGACCAGGCTCACACCTGCTGAGCTTCTGAGCTTAGTGGGTTGCCAGTTGTGAGTTGCAGAGTGATCTGGCTGCTGGCTGCTGGTCTTGGAGTTGGGGAGGCAGTATCTGCGTTCTGATGGGAGTAACTGGAAATTATTAAACAAGGGGTGTGAAGGATCGTCACAGATGGATTTTGCTTTCCGTAAAACACGTGTATGACAGATGGAGCAGAGGGCTGGAAGATCAGTCCCAGTGACCTTCGGACATATTTTCACCAGGCTGCCCAGTTTGTTCTTGCCTCTCAGATTCAGGCAGCCAAACCAGCAGATCAGGGTAAAAGTTAGAACAGATTCAATGAAGGACCGCCAAAACAAAATCAACAATGAATTAATTGACCTTAAAATACTTAAGCTTCCTTAAGAAAAAACAGCCGCTGTCGACCCTCATAAGTGTTCATGAGGGGGGGTAGGCTCCCCCTTTCGAGCCTTGGTTCCTCTCAAGGTTTCTTTCTTCTTTAGTCTAGGAAGTTTTTCCTTGCCACTGTCGCCTCAGGCTTGCTCTCGGGGGTTCCCAGAAATCTGTAAAGCTGCTTTGTGACAATGTCCAAATGTACAAAGCGCTATACAAATAAACGTTTCTGATGATCAGGTCAGTATTGGCTTCGGAATTAAGCTTGGAGTCCAGAACAGTCCCCAAGTACTTGTATTGTTCTACTGGCTGTGCTGAATCTCCCCCCATGTACTGTAGGTTAGGGTGGGAGTGTGGGTGTATTTCCTGAAGTCAATTATCACGTCTTTGATCTTGGACACATTAAGCTTGAGGACGTTTTGTTCACACCAGGTGGCAAACTCATCTATGATTGGTTCCTGGCTCGACTCGTTTGCTTGTAGCAGGCTAACAATGACAGATTCGTCAGCAAATTTGATAATGTGTCTTGAGTGGTGATAGCTCTTGCAATCGTTAGTGTATAGGACAAAGAGTAAGGCAGACAATACCCATCTCTGGGGAGGACCAAGTAGAGGAATGCTTTTAGTTGGATAAAACATTGTTGACTCTGGGTTCTGTCTGTTAGGAAATCAGTAACCCAGCTGATGAGATTGAGATCAAGACCAAAGTTTGACCATAGCCTAGTTGCCAGTAAGTGAGGTTGGACACACTAAAATGCAGTGTTTTGTGAGTTTGTAAACAAAACCTTAACAATATTAATACTTAAAAGCAAATGATAGCACTTCCGAAATGTTCCAAATGAAATAATGTTCTTCCATTTGTAAGTGCGCGTGTAGCTCCCACTTGCGCCCCCTGGTGGGTGTCCAGGCCGCTGGGCGGGCTTGGGCCTTGGGGTGGCGTGTCCTGCAAGCTCCTCTGCTCTGTGTCTCCCGAGGGCAGCAGTCGCAGGAGGAGCAGCACTGGCACGAGCTGGAACGCAGTCTGGAGAGGCAGGTGCAGCTGGGAGAGCCGGGCCCCGCGGCCCCCCGCCTGCCCCCTTCGCTGAGAGGGGCCACCTAGTGCCCTCGCCAGGACGGAGAGCCTCACGGCACCCAGACTCACCACGGGGACAGCTGCCAGGAAACAAACCGCCCCTTGTAAGCAATAAACAGAAGACGCCTGCTGAAAATGCATTGCTTAAAGCTGTTTATTGGGAATTGTATGCTCATAATTCAATGTAATAGCATTCTAGCTGGCTTTTTGCAAATTTGATGTTCTTTTAACCCATGTATCAATCACCCGCAGCTATAGACACGACAACAGAAGTATCGGTACTGTAGAAACAAGAGGAGGCCAGTCGACAGATCTAGCCCATTCACTAGTTAGTAATTATGGGCTTCAACAACATGGCTGGACAGCCTCCTCCACACTCCCACAACCCTTTCTGTTAAGAAGTGCCTCATGTTCTTGGTTTTTAAATGCACTTCCAGGATTGATTCCACTCGTGTTTCACTATTCGCTCCGAAGGTGTCTGCTGGATTGACCCTTTCAGTGCCTTTGAGGATTTTGAATACTTGTAACAACGTGCAGGTCTCAAGCCCTGGAATGTACCTGGCCTCTTTTCCCTGGATTACAGCGCAGCAACGTCTTTGTACTAGTAAGACCTCATTTAGAATAGTGTCTGTGATTTTAGTCTACACATGATAGAAATGTACAATTTTCACATAAGGAACCAGTAAAGGTTTATTCCCTGCTGAAAAGAGCAGAAAGGAAACACAATGTTTCAGCTGGGGAGCCTTCTTCGGGTATGTAGGCTCCATGGGTGAAACCAAAACATTGTGTTTCCTCTCTTCTCTTTTCAGCTGGAATAAACCTCTTACTTGTTCCTTTGCAGCCTACACATGCCAACGCCTCCACCTACTTGAACTTTCTTAACACAATGTCCTTTGATTTAAATTCAACCCTTTTAATATATGTCCTTATATTTTGTTTGCCTTTTTAAAATTGCTTCACCACGTGGTCTATAATATGTAAAAGATGTGTCAACATAAACACCTAAATCTTTTTTTGTAGCATCTTATAGCTCAGTGTTTCAAGTTTTTTATTAATAGTATGTGCTTTGTTTTAATAGTATATGATTTTACTAGGAACAAGTAATAGGTTTATTCTATGCTGAAAAGAGAAATAAGAAAACACAACGTTTCAGCCGTGGACCCTTCTTCAGGTGTGACTACTTGCATATAAAACCCTGCACAATTCTTCATTAAATATCATCTGTCAGGTGTTTGCCCAGACTTTACAGATTAGTGTTTACTAATCATTCCCTTGTGGTACTGTCTGCGAAGCTGACTTATTCACTACACACAGCAGTATCTGGATCATTGGTATAAATGGGGAAGATCAGTGACACTAGCACAGGTCCCTGTGGTACACCGCCTCAGTTTGAGCATTCACTGTTTATCTTTATACTCTCTTCTATATGAACAAATTCTCCATCCAATCACAGATGTTTCCCTGAATCCTATTACCTGTAATTCAACAATAAATATTTTATGAGAAACCTTATCAGGATCCTTCTGAAAATCGAAATACCCCATGGTGTACGCTCTGTGAGAGTTCATTGTCGCTTCTTCAAAGAACTCTAACGAGTTGGTTAAGCAAGATCCACCTTTTCTTAATCCATGTGAACTATTCCCTAGGATGTCATTTCCATATAGCTGATCCTGTACTTTAGTTCCAATTGCTGTTTCCATAACCTCACACAGGCAAGGCAGTAGACATCAGACATTGGCCTATAATAATAAAAAGGTAACAGTGTAAAACAAAGCAAAGCAATATATTGTTATAACAAAGCAACATATTGTTACAAAGAGAACTGTGAAATGGGCCCTGTACCCTTAACAAATGTTGACATTTTCTCATGAAGCTCTGCAGAATTGGACTGGCGCACTCTGAGTCAAGTCCCTCTGGGATGGAACAGGATAAGGACTGGACAGTAGAAAGCTGTGCAGCAGGTTCAGGAGTCACAAACCCTGCTGTAGCGTGTTTGTGTGTGGTGTAGAATGTGTGGAGTTAATTCAATCTCAACTTCCTCCACCAACAAGGGGGTCCTAGCTAAAGGCTGATTCAGAGCTCTATACCGGATAATGGGTGCAAAAACAATATTCACCTTGTTACAGTACATAGCCCATTCAAACTAAGAAATGCAACGTATAATCCATCCATGTGTTAATTTTCAGTACCTGCTTTAGGCTTTGAGGTGGAGTCTAACCCTGCTGAAACTGGGTGTAACGTGGGATACACCCTCGAGGGAACACCAGTCTATTATAGGGCATGCCCATGGGGGGGGCTATTCAGAGTTGCCAATTACTCTGGGGGAAAAGGAGCACCCAGAGAAAGTGCTGAAGGACATGGGGAACTCCGCATGGAACCAGCCCAGAACCGGACCTGGGACCCTCGAGCTCAGAGGGAGGTGTATGACACAGGCTGCGTGCTGCTGCACTCCCACAATGGGCCGGGGTGCACAGCAGTCACACAGCTTTTCCAGCACGTCTCGTCTGTGCAGGAGCAGCACTGGCCTCTGCAGGTGTTTCCAATGGACTGTTCCTACTTATTCCCAGCCACTGGCATGTGTAGTCTGTGGGTTTAAAATAAGCAATCGGACATTTGTAATTTAATTGCTCGTGCTCGTGCTTTTTAATGCCCTGAGTCACCGTGTCACCATGTAAGATCTCTTTCTGCAATGGGAGATTTCAGCTTGTGGTAGCATGGCTGAGAAGATCTTTACACATGAACTCCACACCAAACCCTGCTGTTCTGTTACAGTCTTGGTGGGTTCCTGGCTTTATTTCAACTACAGTCTGAGCAACAAATCAAAAACCCTACCTCATACACGAACAAAGACATTATTCCTTTTCACTGGAAACAAAACTAGAAATCTTCCCTCTGTCCACTGCCCTGAAAGCAGACACTTCTCGTGAACACTTCAGCTGTGGCAGTGGCTTCCTCAGATCCAAAGAAGCTGCACCTTGGAGAAAGGAGCATTAATCTTCCAGAAGGTGATTTTATTCTCCCGGTAGGTTTGCGAGGTCAGGAACGGTTGTAGTATGATTTATTCCATCCATTTTCTAGCCGCCTTGTCCAATCCAGAGTCACGGGGCAGCTGGAGCCTATCCCAGCAAGCAATGGGCACAAGGCAGGGTACATCCTGAATGGGACGCCAGTCCACCGCAGGGCAAACGCCCCCACACACTCACACCAGGGCCAGTTTTTCTAGAAGCCAGTTCACCTACCAGTCCAGCTTCATACGGTGGGGAGGGAACCAGAGCTTCCAGAGGAAATCCACACGAACACGAGAAGAACATGCTGTAACGCTACAGGGGTTCAGGGGGGCGCCCTTGCCGCATTAGGTCGGCCCCCCACCATCGCGGGCTCTAACCCAGGACTTCCGCGTCACTCAACAGGGACCCAGCCCGGTGAGCCAAAGAGAGATCTCTCCACAGCCCAGTAGCTGTAGTCCTGCGATCACAGGGAAGGGCGGTGACGTCACCTGCTCTGGTAAGCCGGCTCTTACACAGTACCTGTCGGCCGTAAGCGTTACAATGCAAACGCCTTGCGGATGGCACTCCAGGAATCGATCACGGAGCCCCAGCGCCACTGTGCTGCCCCTTGAGTTATTCCCATTGTCACTGCCTCTATTACTCCAGACATCCCAGAGTTCCTTCAGGAAGCACGTGGAACAGGACTACACCTAGCACATAGTGCCAGTCCATCACAGGGCAGACACACATGGCACAGAGACCCCAATTACCTTAACTGGGTGCAGCTCTGCCCTGCGATGATTCCACCATGGCTACTGGAAGGGGACACTGCGCCCCCCAAAGAAAAGGGGGAAACCCAACCGCCCGCCGGGGGAAAAGTCCAAAACAACCGGGGTTCAAGGGGGCCAACGCCAACCGCAACACAAAAAAAAAAAAAAAATCTAAAACAGCCGCGGCTGCTTATGTACGCCTTTCTGCGTCATTTTACAAAAGGCTATACATTCTAACGGATGTTTTTACTATTCGTTACCATTATCTCGTAACCCAGTCAAGCGAAGTCAGTCTTTCCAGTTATACTCCTCCTTGATTTCCTTTCCCTCGTACCATGCTCGTTAGTGTCCTAAGCTTTTGCGAGTTCAAAGCAGGTGTTCGGTCCATACAGATGTTTTAACCATATAACCGAAAACGCACTCAGGTGAAAGTTTTCCTCGCTGCTATTTTTCCAATTTACCTACTCCAGCGGACGTCATTAAGAAGCCTTAAGGAACTACACCGCGTCACTCATTTCCTGTTGTGAAAACTACAAATACCAGAGTGCGCCCGGATGTACGTCATATTCCCTTGAACAAAGCTCCCGCCTACCGATTGGCTCGTTACTCTCTGTCTGACCAATCACAGCGCCGCCTGGGTTAACGGATCTGCTGCCGAGGTTACTTCCGACTCGAGGAGGAGCTGGATGATCGGAGTGGAGAAAAGAAATTGAAGGGGATTTTGGTTTATTTTTCCTCAGTGCATTCGTAGTAATTCTTATTGTTTCATTTCTTTCATATTTAAGGTGCGCTTCGCCAGATAGAAGCGTTGCAGTAAAGCTGTCGATAACCCTGATTTCTTCCTGACTGCTGCTGTCCGAGTATTTTCGTGGTAGGTTTCGGTTATTTGGCTAGTTTTTTTAATCGGCTTTTGTTAATTTTACCACACACCATAGCCCTGGCTTTAGTGCTAATATGGGTAATATGGTAATATGGATAGTATTTACAGCTAAAATAATTGTTATAATGCCGTTAAAAGCATTTTGAGCACCATTTCATGTTGGAGGTTATGTAACAGTACAGCGGAGTTGGTGTACCAACACCTATTTCAGAAACTCCTCTACAAAGCATCAACATCTAATTATTTAATCCACGATGGTATAAAGCACTTGGCTGTTGTCACCCATTCATTTTCTCGACCATTTTGATCATTTCTCGAGCTATGATTTGTGTCTTTATCGGTCCTTAACAAAAGAGGATTGCTGCTGCTGTTAAACAGAAGTTGAAGAGCTTTGGTAATCTCTGCGAATTGCTGCCAACCGGATCGAAGGCCTCAGTGGGCATTAGTCATATAGATGCCATATTTGTTTTCGAATCCCGTGTATAATCTAACTATTTTGTCTAATAAAAGATACAAGATCTGTATTTAAGGGAGATATGCGTTAGTTAGGAGCTTTATATCAATAAAGCGGTATTCTTTCGGTTTGGACTAGTCAGATTACATAGTCTGTTTTAAAATGTGGTGTTGGCACAGGTGTTAATGCCTCTTGTATTGCGACTTAACTTCCACGTTAGCTGAACGTCTCTTGTTAGCGCCAGGAGCATATCACCCTGCAGCTCCCAGCTGGCAGCCCACTGAAGCTCAGCAGGTGTGAGCCTGGCCAGTACCTGGATGAGAGAACTCCAGGGGAAAAACTAAGGTTAATTAATAATAATAGTTCCTTACACTTATATAGCGCTTTTCTGGACACTCCACTCAAAGCGCTTTACAGGTCATGGGGATCCCCTCCACCACCAATGTGCAGCCCCACCTGGATGATGCCATAGTGCACCAGTACACTCACCACACATCAGCTCTCAGTGAGGAGGAGAGCAGAGGTTGCTGCTGGAAGAGGTGTTAGTGGGGCCAGCAGGGGGCGCTCACCCTGCGGTCCATGTGGCTCCTAATGCCCCAGTATAGTGCTGGGGACACTATACTGTAAAAAGCCGCCATCCTTCGGATGAGACGTAAAACCGAGGTCCTGACTGTCTGTGGTCATTAAAAATCCCAGGGCGCCTCTCGAAAAGAGTAGGGGTGTAACCCTGATTGGCCCTTACCAATCATGGCCTCCTAATAATCCCCATCTATGAATTGGCTAATAGCGGAGTGTACTGGCGCACTATGGCTGCCGTCGTGGATGCTACACAAGTGTCCAAAAAAGGGCTGTGTAAGTGTCAGTAATTATTGTTAGGTCAGGGGTTCCCAGTCCTGGTCTTGCAGGATCACACATCTGCTGGGTTTTGTTCCAGCCCAGCTCTCAGATGCCTGATTCAACTCTCAATGGGAGTAATAGTAATAGGAGTAGTTTGAACGGTTTCATTGCTTTCCGTTTGACAGCTGCCCTTTAACTACTGCATTTCCTGAGTAAAATTCCTAACTTATGAGAAGGAAAAGAAACCTGCGATTGTGCCAGTGGAGCAGCTTGTTAGTCCTGTTAAGGTCTCAGCTAGGTGATTAATCTCCGCTGGAATGACAACCAGGAGGCGTGCGCACCTCCAGGATCGGGATCCGTTGGTTTACAGTAAGGTGGTGTTTTTTAAACCACAGCACCCGCCATGACTGTAGTAGGGTTCCTTCCTTGCTTTGGTTTTTCCAGGTTGGTATGATGGACTAGTTCATCACCACCACTTCGGCAGCAACGCGATTTTCTTTAAAAACATTCTCCCGTCCTAGTGTCTGCTCAGGAACCTGTGAGCTGTGACACGTTCAGGTTTAAGGGTGGTTAAGGGGGTGTGCTGGTGGAAGGCAGTTATGGGCATCGCGGTCTTTAGTTGTACTCATCGTTGCATGAGGTGAGTCAGTCAGGAAATACTTGCTAAAGCTCGGTAAAGCACGTTGTGCTGTTAACCGCTTCTGCAGACTGTGTTCCCCAGTGTCTCACAAGATAGGAGGTAAAAACCGTGAACGACTGAAATATTTGAGGAAACTGCCTGGTAGTTCTGTAGGTGGTGTCTTTTACCTTTTGGGGTTTTAGTTTGTCAAATTGCTGGATTGTAATATTATAATGATAAATTCTTGCTAGTTGTTGGGGGTTATGTTCTTTAAAGTCCCCATGAACCACAAATCCATGAAGATATGTTATGGTTTGGTACCTCAACTCCGAACTGTCTTCTTGCCCTTTGCTTGCAATAATGATCGGTCGTTATACTTACTAAGTTAATTTGTCCAATATATTCAATATATTAGGATGGGGTTTTCAAAAGACCTAGAAATAAAGCCATAAATGTAGCTTAGTTTGCCCAAATGAAATAGTATGCTTTGGGATGCCTAATTCATTGATGTGTTTTCCACCTCCATCAATTAAGCATGATTTGATTTACTTTCTCCTGGAAGAATGGTGCTGCATCTCTCCTGCAGAGTTCCAGAGGCTGATAGACTCTGTCCACTCACTTGATGACTTTGGTGTTTTCATTTATCTGCTATCTGTATCTGAAGCCGACTCATTGATTCATTATTAGTGCCCAACTCTTCGCTCTTGTTAATTTGTCCGGTCAATCCGCATTTATGGACAAGATGTAAGACCAGTCTCTGCCTTTTTTCACCAAGCTTTTCTTTCAGATGGCATTGGTACTCAATACTGTAAATAAACACCTGCTAAAGAAATGCACAGCACTGTATTGTTATAAGAGTGCAGTTAGTGGAGCAGAGAAAAACATGCATGATGTCTGCATGATGTACTGATTGAGCCTGCTGCATTTTGAGGTCTTCATGCACTCTGTGGGCTCGCAGACCCATGCTTATAGTTGAGCTTGTATGTCGAGAGAGGAATACCTAAGGATGGAACGGCATTAGTATTTCCATAACAGACGCTTTTATCCAGTTACAGTGTGTGCAGTATTATTATAAGGGTTATGCTCATGTACACAAGCTGTAAATCTCCTCCAGCTGTTTTCTTCTCATTTTGTTTCTCGCTTGGCTTATGCCTGACCCTGCATCAGTTTGTACAGATACTTCTGCTTGAACCTTTTCAGACGTTGGTTTACTCTGTTAAAATCCAGCCTCCACTTCTTTTTAATGTTTTCCAGCTTGCAATTGTTTTCATTTTCCATTTGCACATAAAACGATGCTGCATTTTACAAAAAAGTGTTAACTTAAAGCATGCCTTTCCATTCCAAACCATTGGATCAAGCCATTCCCCTCCATCATCATCATCTAGCCACCACAAGATGAAACTGCTGCTGGCACCAAATGGTTTTGTTATAGAAAGAATGAATGTAGTATTGAAGGCAACTTCTTGTTTCTTTCAGGTTTTAACCTGGTGTTTACCAGTACTCTGCATAGAGCAATGTTCTCCGGGACATATTAGGGAGTCGGCCCTTGGTTTTCAGTCTCCGCAGCTTTAATGATACTTGTACCAGATCAGTTTTCACTAATATCTTTCTCAGAAAACATGAGCACAGTAAGTATTTTCTCGCATGCTTTCATTCATTGTGTTGTGAAATTCCGGCTGGTTTTGCCACTTGTTAGTTCATTTTCCTGCTGATTTTCAGACGCGGTGCTCGCACTGAGTTTCACACTCCGTGTTCTAGTGTTCTTACTGCATGTACAGAGCTCCGTCTGAAACGTTTCGTGCAAACAGATGTGTTTTGGGCGTTGAGGTTACCTTGTTGCGTTTCACAGTGACGGGCACAGAGGTAAACAAGAAAGAAACACTCTGAAAGTTTATGCCGTGAAGAGGGTTAGTGCCTACGCTGTTCGAGGAAGCTCTCGAAAGGAAGGGCTGATCATTAGTAGGATAAGTGCCATTTTGATAGGAAGAGTAATGAAATTGTTTAGCCTTGGGTTCAGTGCTTAGCAGTCTAATGAAATATGAACACAAGGTTACGAAAAGAGGCTGTTCAGTTCTCCTAGCCTGTTGGGTTGTTAGCAGTTCTCAGTCCTCCAGCTGTTTCTTGAGAGAAACCGGAAGATCCGTGAATTCAGCCCATGGTTGAATGGGCTTCAACCATGTCTGGGTAGCTTGTTCCACACTCCCACCAGCCACCCTTCAGGTTTTGTCTTTAAATGAACTAACGTGTTGTTTCCACCTGTGACCCGTGCTTGTGCTCCACTGTTGGCTCAGGTCTCTTCCTAGTCTTTTCAACACTGAATGGATTGGCTTTGCCTGTCAGGGTGGAGCATTTCCTTAAGCCTGGGAATGAATCTGGCTGATCTCCTTTAGACTGATATAAGTGCAGCAGGATCTTTTTTTGTAGTGTGCTAACCAAAATGGGACAGAATATTATATATAGCCTAAAACATTGCATTGTAGAATGGGACTTCCCTTGATTTCAGATATTCACTTTTAACTATAGATCCATTTTGGTTCTTTTTACTGCTTCTCCACATCATTTCAAAAGAAATGTTAACAAACACCAACATTTTCAGTAGCTGCTTCACACTCAGCTTCGCATTTTGTATCTGTAGTTTATATACCTGCATGCTGCACTCTGCACAGACAGTTGTCTAAATTAAGTGTCATCTGCCAAGTGACTGCTCAGTTTTGAATTTTATCTAAATTGCTTGAATTTCATTTACTGCTTCTATGGTGTTTGCTAATCCTCCTGTTTGGGTTTTGTCTGCTTGTCACTTGAGTAATCTACTTCCTATTCCAGAATTTGGAATTATAACTTATCAGTGATCCTAGTACAGACACCACTACCACTGAGGTATTCCATTTATAACATCATCCCACTTTGTGCATTCACCTCTGATACTCGCCTGTCACATGCTGGTCTCGTATGCCACAGAAGTTCATTTTTTTGTGGTAGGACCAAATCTTAAATGGGTTTATATGATATCTACCAGATATGTATCCCGTGTTGAGGTAACTGCCAGTAAAATATTTGTAATGTCTGATATTTCCTTGACTCATTTTTAATCATTGGCCTCATATCTTCAGTGTTCCTGAACCCGTATACTAAAGATTCATAATGTCCAGAGTCTTTATTTCAGCCTTGTGGTTTGGTGCAGGTTTATTAAAAGAAAGCACAATTGTATTAAAACCCTGCACAGTATGAATGTTTCCATTCTGCAGCTCTTCATTAATGGTTTCTTTCTCTGTTTTGCCTTTTTTTAAACAAGGGTTGGCTATTTACACTACCCAGGAAAACCAGAATGTGTGAATGTGTACTGTTAGTCATATTTATAAGATCACTTTATTAGCCATTTACAATTTCCTGTATTAGGAATTTGTCTTTTCACAGACCCCAGCTTGCTCTCCATGAGACACAGACAGGAGACACAGACAGGGAGAGAAGCCTGGGGTCAGAGCTATTTATACTGCACCCCTGGAGCAGTTGGGGTTAAGGGCCTTGCTCAGGGGCCCAACAGAGTAGGATTCCTCTGCCTGCTGTGGGATGTGAACTGGCAACATTCCAGCCGCAGTGTTAAGGATCGCTCCGCTCAACAGTTCACTGTTGCACAGGCAGGGGTCAGAGCCTGCTTTTCTATCCTTTCCCTCACTGATAACACAGGCCATTGGATTAGAGGATTAGATGAACACGAGAATTTGCAGCACTCATTTTGTTGGTGAATAAATCAAGGAAACAGTCAAAACGCTGTGTGCTATCATTGGCCGAAAAGATCTATTTATATTAGAGATTAAATTCAAATGCAACTGTAATGTGTGCATTACACAGAGCATCAAATCTACCTTAAAAAGGAACAATTCTCAACTTTAGAGTCTGGAGTTGTCCTGCAATATATTTGCTTTACACTTTACTGCACAAATGCGTTATCTATTCCTTTTTGTGCTTGTTTTTGTAGCTGCTTGTCTATATAAATGAGAAAAGTTCCAGCTGGGACTTTGAATTGCCTGCTGCTCCTGTGGCTGAGTAATTCCTGTATGCATACATCATAACCTTACTGCGCCTTTCTCATAAGCAGAACTCATTTGTGCTTATATATGTTTTTCTCTAATGTTACTGGGTACAGCTGAACGAGTAAGCATTCCAATACACTTGTTGTATATGGCAAATACAGATATAGATAGATACTTTATTGATCCCAAGAGGGAAATTGCAGTGCAACAGCAGCTTAACACAGACAACACAGCAACAGTGTGACGAATGATATAATAATAATAATAATACAATAAATTCAGTACAGTGAGAAGTGCACTCTTGCGGAAATCTTGAAACCTAACTGAGAGTGTGGATTTTCTACACATCTCAGCCATTGAACTCTGTGACTCTTTCAAAGTTGTCATTGGCATCATTTAGAAACGTAAAGAATTTTTGTACCCTGTTCCTGATCTGTGCTTTTCAATGAATTTAGCTCTAACTGGCTTTGAAAGCTCTGAGTCTTTATTTGAAATTCTGCAAGGAGCCCCTCCAAGGTGTTTTTCTCATGACATCAGCTGGACCACGATTGTACACAGAACCCGCTCAACTAACTGTGGGTTTTTAAAGTCATTTTGTGCACCTCAATTTCAATTTTCCTTTGAAAAGATTTACTTAAGTAACCGTGTTTTGTTTTCCATTTTCTTTCAGGTTACATATGCATTTCTTTGGTTTTGGTTTGAATGTGTGCAGTGGGTTTTGCATATAACAGATATTGCTGTAATTGCTACTTCAAAATGTCATGACAGTGAACTTTAAGGCTCACATTGTGTAAAAACTGTGCAACGGTTTGAATACTTATACAGTTCTATATACACAATATACAATATTAAAATATGGATTAAGAGAAAATAATGTCAGTCTGAATGCAGTGATGGTTGGATTGAAAGAGAGATTACGTTTCCTTATTCTAGTATTAGTTAATATATGGCTGAGTACAAAGGTAAAAACAGGGGCCACAAAGAAAAGTGTATTATTTATTTCACAATACTTAGCAAAATAAATTAGAATGTTGTAGACTTAGTGCAGTGGTTGATCGCCTGAAATCTAAGCCTTTATTAGTATTTTTCTGCATAGATTGTGGGGCTGAGCAGCAAATGATCAGAAGTCTTTTTGGAAAGGGTTGTCTTAAAGGGCTACAGCCCTGACTGCTGGTTCCCGTCGCTCAGGGGCTTCTGCAGTGTTGGGTGCACTCAACCCTTGGAAGGCAAGGTCAATAGATAATCAATTCAATTCAAGATGCTTTATCAGCATGTCCGATGAGTACAGTCAGTGTTGCTTAAGCAAATAAAATCAAAGTAACATGCAACAACAAAAAATCTGCAGACATTTATAACGAAGACATATCATAAAATATTTACATATACTGTAAACATAATCGCTGCCTAATGGTGCAAAGTCATCACCTTCGTCCCATGTTCAGCCTGGCCATGTTCCTGCTGGCAGAAGTGTCACTGTCACCGTCCCCAGAATCTGGTGGATGAGAGTGACATGGACTTGGTTCCCATGTAATGGTCTTTTCAGGCACTAGATCTGGACCCAGTCAGGCATTCTGGGACTTCTGTTAACCAGGCCTGATTTGCTTGAGTCTCTCCTGTGGTAGACTTCCTAGGCCCATGGGGCACGCTGTTAGTGGCTGCACATGGTGGCTAACCTCCAAATTGACTGACTGTCCATCTGACCACCGTCTCCGCTCAGATGCTGGAGATCTGCACCCTTCCCAGTTCTCCTGCGACAGTGGTGCAGTGTTGTTTTTGCTCTCTCCGAGAGCTGCTGATTCTGTAGATGTTGGGAAAGTTTTCTGGGCTTTTGTAAAAGAAGATTTTAGTAATCCTAGTTAACACTTGAGTGCTGCTTTTATCATATTGTTATCTTGAATCTCAGGAGTCCACTTCACTTTTTACACACTATCTTGGTCCTTAAAGTTAATTGTTAAGCATTCAGTGAAAATTAGTTATTTAAACGTTTAACGTATTGCATCCTTGTTTTCACTTTCTGGTAGCCTAATTTTGTAGGTTAAATAGGACTCATCTTAGTTTGAACCCTGTGAGCAAATATGACCTGATATGTGGGTTGGGATATGTGCTTGGCAAGTGTGTTAAGCCTTGCATATTTAAATATGGCTGGAGAATGACTAATTCCAATTACCCATTGCTTGCAAGGTATTGTCCAGTTATTTTGTTGATGTCCCTTTGGCACTTTAGAATCTGTAAATGACTATAAAATGTTGTAAATACAGCCCTTTCAAAGCAAACTTTCTTGTCCCACCTATAACAGGCCCAAATAAAGCGTCGCAGTGGTGGGTCTTCCAGAAGACCAAGCAAGAGACGCAGAGTTACAAATGCACCTCCGGCAATGGAGCCCGAGACCATAGAGGTGCTGGAGAACAATTTGCACTCCAGTAAGTGACCGGGCCACGTCAAATGTTTTACTACATCTGGGGGGAAAAAAAAATCCATCTGGGTGATGCTCAGCAGTCACTTTGCCCCAAAAGTACAGTGACACAGTAGAGGCAGAATAACGAGACATCAGTTGAATTAAGGGAGAACTTTAGGAAGGCAAGTTTGTATATCCATGTGGAATTGAGCCAGGGAACCGGGGATAACACTCTCACTCTTTCAAGAACAACATCAAATTGTTTATTAACCAGATAGTCCCGATCTCTGACATCCAAAAAACAGCGCCTCCTACAGTGTTCCTTAACATCATAAGCCATTGGGTGTGAAAATCCTGCTCCGAAGGTTAGAGCGCCACCTACTGGTCCACTAACACCCTGCGGCAGCAGCCTGGATTTCCCTTGAGGTCTCCCTTTCAATAGTAATACTGACCCGGCTCAGTCTGGCTTAGCTCTGATGAGATCAGGCTGGGAGGAGGCTGTGCAACAGCCGGGGCGGTGCTGCTCTGTTCAGTCCCTGTGGTGTCTGGAGCTCTGCTCGCTGTTGACGTTGCCCCGACTAAGTTGTGAGCAGCTGCCTTTCCCTTAGTGTACTGACCGTTTGTGGTGTGTGATGTGTGCAGGCGAGGATGTTGTCGATCTGACCTGCGAAGGCTCTGAGCCCGCTGTCGTTGACCTCACTAGCAATGATTCAGTGGTGGTAAGTCATACTGTTCTTCTTTGGCTCAGTCTTGATTCTTAGAGTCTCTGCTATTTCCACTAGTTGTCAAAAGCATTTTGTACTTTTGAAAAATCAAGTAATTGATATCTTGTTTTAATGTCCAGTAGAGTGCTTATTATCAAGTTTAGTCATCTTATATTCTGGCACTGAAGTGGTAACTTGGGAACTGGTTTTGTTTCCTTTGAGAGCTGCTGGTTCTGTAGATGGTGGGAATCTTTTCAGGGCTTTTGTAAATGAAGATTATAGTAACACTAGTCGATTATGCATGAGTTTTAAATTATAATTGTATGGGCAGGTACATGAGTTAGTTTTTCATACTGTTGTACTTTCAAAATATGGTTTAATGGCATGGAAAGTATTTTTATACAGGTTTTGTACAGTTATTTGTCCCACAGATTCAATATCTGTTATGTTTCACAATTTCTATCATGTTTATTGACTGTATTTTGTAATCATATAGCCAGTTCCAGTATTTTATAGCTTGCTAGTAAAAGCACAGAAGAGAACTATTTTTTCCCCTGTATATATTTCTCAATCATTGAGATGTCCTGAAATATAACGATTTTGTTCTTTTTTTTTCTTGTCTCTGTATCACATCGTCCAGATTGTAGATGAAGGTAGGTTCCTGCTCCTGCTAAGTAGTGGCTTGATTCAGTGAAATCACAAACTGATACAGCTGTGTTGCTCCTTCTTGCGTATTGAAAGGAATGACCGAAGAGGTTCCAGTGGGGAGCTGTCCTCATGCGTTTTGCAGTAAGAACAAATACAGGTTAATTCCAGGCTGAAAAGTAGAAAGAAGAAACAACAACAACATGCATGTCGCACACCAGTAGAGAAAGCTCTACAGCTGATGTGTTTTTATTCTTTTTCTTTTTAGCTTGGAATTAACCTTTACTTGTTCCTATCAGAATGAAGAGATGTTTTTGGAATATCTGGGCTTAAACCAGTTGAATTCATCAGTCAGCTTTTTAAGCTCCTTAAAAGTAGTCAAGCACTTGATCCTATTGCTGTAAGACAAGTCTGTAGCAGCTCCGGCTCTCAACACTTCCTCTGTCCCCCTGCCCAGTCCTGTCTGTTTTCCCTGTGATCCCCTTTTCCAGTAAGTATAAGACCCCTCTTCCTTGCCAATCTTCTCTTTTGGCTTCTGGGTGTCCTGCGTGGGCCGGGCTCCGCGGTCTCTGTTTGTGCGGTAGAGGGGTGGCTCTGGGCGTGGTGCTAGTGGAAGGGTTTTGCTCCGGCGGTCTGGGCTTGCCGGCCTCACGGACTGCTGTGCTGTGGCCAGGTCTGCAGGGCCACCGGGAAGCGAGCGGCGAGAGCTACGTCCTCAGCAGCGACGAGGAGGAGGTGGAGGACAGCGGCATGATGCCAACACCGGCCTTCCTCTCCTCCCTGGAGAGCAGCAACAAGGCCAGGTACGATGAGCGCGCAGCACCGCGGCGACAGGGAAGAGCGGGCCGCGTCTGTACTTCCACTTGTTTGGATCTCCTGCATGACGCTGTGAACGGTTGCAATAGCAGGGAAAGAGGGGGAAATAGATTAGAGAAGGGGGAGCCATGCTGGCTGCGTTAGTAGATACGATACAGATGACCGTTTTTTGTGAGACAATTAGTTGACATGTAGAGTTCCTAAAGTTGGTGCCATAAGACATAGTCCTGGTGCAGGATTGCTGAGGTTCACCTGGCTTTATGAGTCTCTTTTAATCACCAATGCCTTAAGAGCTGTGAAGGGCTGTTAAACTGGTCCAGTTAAGCCAAAGATTGATGGAACTGGGTGTTGAACAGCTGAGCTGGAATATAAGGCCTGCACACACAGCTGCCCTCCAGAACTTGGACTGAGCCTTAGGAGCAGATTTTCAGATTCTGTGTTAACCAAAGATACATGTGCACAATGAAAGAATTGGGGATGCTGGGTTTTATGTGTTTGTATCCGTGCATATGTGACCAGTACAGCTGTCCTCCGCTCCTGCCAGAATTCAAAACCTCTTCAGCGGAAGTGATGAAGCAGGGGAGATGTGATGGGCAATGCAGAGAAAAACAGGCGCACAGATTTTGAATTGAGCCTCTGAGACAGAGAAGCTTGGAAAACAGGTCTCAGGCCAGGCTTTGTCCCGGCACCGCGAGTAAGCGAAACCGCGGCTGAGGAGAAGGGGAGCTTCTGTATCTGAGCAAGAAGAACTTCTTCTTTAATGTTTCTGCTACGTATATTATATTGTCTGTCCCTGTTAATCTGGGTAAACCATTTTTCTTAAGTGGTAGAATCTAACCACGTCCTTCACGGGTTTTCTTCTTGTGTTCTTGTGTTCACAGAGCTACCCCAGGAACGATTAGTTGCCCCATCTGCTTAGACACCTATGGAGAGGTAAGAATGGGAAAGATAAACTAAGCGCTGCTTAAAATGCCGCTTACAAAATGCGGGAACGAGTGTTCTTCTTTCCTTCCGCAGATAGTCGGGAGTGGAAGGCTCGTTGTCTCCACGAAATGCGGACACCTGTTCTGCAGCCAGTGCATCCGAGACTGTCTCCGCAAAGCAAGCAAGTGTCCGACCTGCAGGAAGAAACTCAACTACAAACAGTACCATCCCATTTACATCTGACTGCATCTCGCCCCGTGTGTTTGTAATTGGCTCAAGTTAAAGAAAGGGCAGTGACGAAGGAAGGCTTTAGAATTTATTTTTGAATTAAGACACTTCCATTTCCATCGTGCTTTTACATGTTTCTCACACTGTGGGTCTTCAGAGGTGCGGTTTCTTGGAGGATCTATGCAATTCCACTTGGCTATTAACCACTCCAGAGCAGTGAGTGTCTCTCTAGGTACAGCAGAATTTGAGCATCTGATATTTACTTCCATCTTGATTGAATTCAGGACTTACAGTAATGTTTGATCATAATCTTTCTCTGTGAAAAAGGATACACTACAGGGGAAATGCTCTAGTTTGGAAATTAAAATGTTTCTGTTCCCTTTTTATAGTGATGGAAGATCTTCAACTTGTTCAACAAACTTGTTATATACAGTTTTTGTTAAGGGTACCTCGCTGAAAGTTGTTTGTAAAGGAAGAATGAAATCTCTCTTAAATGCTCAGGAAATTCTACTGGAGCCTTGCAACTCCAAAAGAACAGTCAGTAGTCTTTCGAAAGAACTGTTAGCATTCCACAGGCAAGATAATAGGTGCTCTCTGGTCACCCTTAAAACAAAATGTGATCTTGTTTGATGCAGCATAGTGACACAGTTGCACCTTTCCTTGTGGGTGAGTGAATCGGTTGAACTTCCCTTGTGTTGCAAAACCCTTACCTCTCACTGTAATGTATATATGTATAGTATTGTATATATTTTGTCTGTTAAGTTAAAATGAACCGAAATATATCCTTAGCAGTCTTAATATTTTAACGAGCTAATTATGATCTTGCAGGAATCATACTTCTATGTTGTGACAGGGTTTGTGACGATCTCTTACAGTAAGGTAATGGAAATCCTACATTCCTACGGTGACCCTTGTACCAGATCACTTTGGCGTAGTGTGAGCCTGAGCTCTCTTTTTTTTCAGCTTTGTTTCCATTGTTGTGTGATTAAAGTTGTACACTTCCCAAGATTGTTCCTGTACACTTACCTCTGGTGTCAGTTTCTATCCTCTGACTCATTACATTAATTTCTTTTCACACTGTTATTTTTTCCTCTAGAGGTTTGCCCTAACAGAGGAGAGACATTTAATTGCGTTCTGCTCTAATTCTGAATTAATATAAATAATGAGGTGAAGTCGGTAAGCAAACTGAATGTATGAGTGTTCCACCAGCTGTTTTGCAAAGCTTCACCTGTCTAATGGTAATGAGGGGCCTCCCACTGAAATGACACTGGACGTTCCTGTACTAAACCTTGAACTTCAGAGTTATTGCTGGCATTTGGACCTTAGACCAATTTCCTGCACTTTGTCTGCTGCCCTGAAGACTAAGGCAGCAATCCCAAAATTGACCTTACACGTCTCTTGTGAAACATGCGCTGTGTTGCAGAGGAAGGTCAGATTGAATGTTTGAAAACATACTTGTATGCTGTTTCGCAGAGAGTTCAAAAAACAAAATAAAGCACAGTGGTTTTTAGGCTTAGGGTTTTAACTTCCATAATATCTTTTCTTGTCACATTTGTTCCTCTTAGAATGTTAAAATGCATATGTACTTGTAAAAATAATGTCAGCATACTTATCAAATGCTTAATTAGAGCATAATACACTTTTTATTTTAAAGGGTTGTTTACTCCTGAAGTATTTTGGCATAGAATCCCTGCAGTTTGACAGATTGTGGTTTTACTTGAATCTGTGGTTTTCACACTTATTTCTGAACAGTTGTATTCTTATGGTTACAAGAATGGTTATGCCAGGCTCACTCCCACCAGTATTCTGTATCACCTGTGGTGGGCATGGTGCGATTGTCCCTGCAGGTGATACTGGTTTCCTTGGCAGTCGGCCCTGAGTGACAGATGGGTGAAGGTGTGGCCAGCAACTGTGGCGCTCAAACTAGAGCAAGCCTGACATGTCACAAATGGAAAAGGCTAAGTAGGAAATCGAGCTCACTTGGTATCTACTCACCTCAGTTTGTTGAAGTCCAGGAGTCTGCTTTAATAGCGTAGCATCCTTTCTGAAACGTCTGGTCTCAATGAGATGGATACAGACATTTGGGATTGGATTTTTTTTCCTCAGCAAGCAGTACTTAGAAATGGATGTCCAATAAATAAGTCAATTTGTGTAACATTGTGCTGTTCATTCTTTGTGTACTTTCATCCTTAAAGTGTTAGAACCAAACACTGTTCAACTCCTTATTTGCCAAAACAGTTTCTTAGTTTTCAATTGCTTTTGTGAGTTTTCAGAAAAATAAAGCTCTTGCTCTTAAGTAAATTGGTATTAAGACTGATAAAGGGTTTTGTTGTGACAATTCCCAGCTGTGTGAAATTGTTCTGTAGTGGCCTGGTGCCTACTGGATTGTTGAATAGTTTAAGAACCATTTAGACTAGCCAATTACAGGATTCACTTTTTCAAAGCTGTTATACTAGGTGTTGGTGGTGCAGTAGTAATACTAATTTTAGAATTAAAAGTATTTTTCATTAAATGCCAGCTTCTGTTTTTTATCAATTGTATTCTTAATGCTCATTTGTAACTTATGAATGTTACTCTTGGGAGTTATGACAAAATTGTAGGAAATCTTCCATATTATCCTATTATACTTGAAAACAATGAAATAGCTTTTATTGTATCAACATGCAAAATTTCGTATGCACTTTTTTTCTTAAGGTGTGCTGTATGGTTACACAGGTTATAAATAACTTTGTTTTGTATAATCTTCTGATCCGTTGAATAAATTCAAGTGAGTAATATAACAGATTGCTTGGGATCTCCTTTTAGGGATTACTTAAGCATGTAGATTCCTAATCTGTGTATAGGTGTGAAAGTCATTAAGTGTTAGTTTAGTATTTACTTACAAAACACCAGTTTCTTGTTTTCATGTGACTCCATTGCTGCTTTTTAATTTCTTTTGGGAGTGTTTTTTTATTGGTGTAAATGCACTGAAATGAACAAGTGTACTTTGTACAACAATACTTATTTGTTGTCAATAAAAAAAAGGTTTCCTATTAAATATGCCATGTAAAAAGATATTGGAGCCAGGATTGGAAAACATGTAAACAATTGATTACATTCATGAACAGCACATTAGAAGGCAATATGGGTCTCATTCCAGAAGGTTTATCATCATCAGTCTTGGAATTATGAAAGAAGTTGTTGTTCAAAGTGAAAAGCCCCAGATACGTCCATCATGGGACTCAAGTGCCAGAATCTGATCCAGATGATTAGAAGTATCACTCTCTCCAAAAGTAAACATCCACAGGGATCTGCTGAAATGAAATCTTCCTGTATCTGGCTCAAGGTGGAAAATGAAGTTCAGTGTTTTATGGCAAGGGAGAATTGTGTTAAAGTGATTAGATGCTAGAAAGCATGCACAAGGTTAAAACTCCAGAATTTAATTGCACCTTTTGGGATCTGCTTAAGAACCAGTTATTGCAATTGTATGAAGAAAACTACCAGCAACCATGTCACCCCTAAACTCAAATCTGACAACCCATTGGAGCTCAGCAGGTGTGTGCCTGGCCAGTACATTAATGGGAGACCTCCTGGGAAACACTAAGGTTGCTGCTGGAAGAGGTGCCAGTAGGGGGTGCTCACTCTGTGGTCTATGTGGGTCCTAATGCCCCAGTGTAGTGATGGGGACACTATACTGTAAAAAAGCACCATCCTTCAGATGAGATGTAAAACTGAGGTCCTGACTCTCTGTGATCATTAAAAATCCCAGGGTGTTTCTTGAATAGAGTAGGGGTGTAAACCCAGAGTCCCCATTACCTGTAAAGTGCTTTGAGTGTCAAGAAAATAAATTATTATTCTTAAAGCTTTGAGGTTGGATTTGTTGCTGGACTAAGGGAAGGCATCCTTTCTGAGACATGAGAGGAAAAATGACAAAGAACTGGAGATCCCTCGGTCTGTTGTGTGCATTAACCACAGCAGTGGATAAAGATGTCAGGCATAAAGTTTCATACTGTTACCAACTACGTAGACTCCAGTCAGTACTCGTTTCCACTTCAACATCTTTCACGTTCCAGTTCATCAGTTTTTCTGCTGATTGAAGGTACTATAAACTTGTCACATCAAAAAAAGGCAAATCAATCGATTTAGATGTTTTACGATGCACGAAGGGTAAGCACACATACATTTCTGATTTCCTAGAAAAGGTTTGTAAATTAGCGACCTCTGCTGGCCGGGAGAGCAAAAGCTTACAGCACCTGGTATTCCCAGGCGGTCTCCCATCCAAGTACTAACCAGGCCCGACCCTGCTTAGCTTCCGAGATCAGACGAGATCGGGCGTGTTCAGGGTGGTGTGGCCGTAAGCGAAAGCAACGGCGCCTGACTCGCTACTTGAAGCTAATGCCCTATAAAAGATGCTATGTGATGCTCTGACATTTTTATGCACTCAGATCCTCATAATTTCTTTACTCATAATTATACAGTTGATATTTAACCGCACATATTGTAACCACTGATAACTCGTAGTCAACAGATCTGATGCATTTATAATATTCCTTGACTTTTTATTCATTTTTGCATTTGCTTACATTTTCTCTGATTTACTTTTTTCTGTATAGACTTTCATTTTTAAGTCTTTATTATCCCTAAGAGACAGTGTTTTACAGCAGCAGCAAACCCAAACAATACACATATACATGCAGAAAAGAATAATGATAAAATTCTAATACTTTTGTTCTTGAGTGTTTAAGAATCTCAAAGTACTGTATTGTACCGTAAAAAAAAAATTTTTGAACGTATTCACAATTGATGTATTAGAATGATGATCAAATGTAAATTAATTGGATTTTTACATTTATGAAGGTCTTGTTCACATTACAACCCCTTTGCTAATGCAACCCTAAATCAGTTCATGTGCAAAACAATAGTTTGAAAGGTCGCAAAATGTGTGTATTGGTCTCATTCTGTGTGTAATTAAAGTTTTTTCACTTGACTTTAGAGTAAATGCATTTACCTCTGTAAGAATTATAATTCAAACCACATTTCTGGTAGTGAGAAGGCAAATCAAGTATGTAGCTTTCGAAACAAATCAGGGATGATCTGGTAGAGAGGCACAGTGCAGGAGCAGGTTACTTTGAGAGCTCATACTGATACTGACCTTATCCCAACATGGGCAAGGACATCACTGGAGAAGAGTGCTCTTAAATCTCATGGGAGACAAGTTACAATAAAATTAGCTCACCCTAAATCACCTGCTTTCACAGACCGGGAACTCTGGTAGGTTATGCATCACTTGTGTTCAGTTAAGGGAAATTGATACTCGAAGGCTAAGGTTTTGCTCAAAAAGATCAATAAATTACAGTATTTAATTTTAACCGTCTCTGCGATTGACTGACGCGTAACACTGTACCCAGTATTAACGAACGATTTAATACCTCCAAACCCTGCAGGACTGCCGCATACTCCGGGAGAGAGAGAGATCGGCCCATGATCAGAAAGCTGCAGTAACACACAGCACATGTGGGTGGATATACCCGCTCTACAACATTTCTCAAATTCATTCAAACTCAGAATCTACTAAACATCTTTTGATATTTTGTCAAGTTAAAGTTTTGCACTCTACCTCAAGGTCTACAGCAAGACCAAGTGCGTGTATGAGCTGAATACGCTCAAGCCCTGTCATGCATCAGTCCAAGACGGTGGTCCACACACTGACTGAAGGAAGCAAAGCTTTCCCCTACGGCCGTCATCGCTAGCCTGCACCGCCCGCTCCCCCCAGCCGCTCTTCAGAGACAGAAAGCGCCTGTTCGGGTTTCGTTGGTTTTAAGAAACATTATGCGCCTCATCAAGCGTCAAATGACAACGATGTGCAAGAGGTGGCTGTGTCATATTCAACGTGATACTTGGAACTCGCTTGCAGCTTTGGTTGTGACACCTGAATCTTAGAGGGGGAAAAAAAAATACTCGGCGTATTTCTTTGAAAGAAAGCAAAGATGAAACAACATTAAAAGGAAGCGGCATGTTCGCGTAACATTTTTTAACAGCCCAAAAGGACGCAGCTCCCCCGACGTATGATTCAGAGAAATCCGCAGCAGATCTAAAACAATGACGGCGTTATGGAGCCCCAGTTCGGCCGAGGATAATCACATGACGAGATGTCATATGACAGGGGAAGCCCAGCGGCTCCAGCTGTGCCCGGGGCTGCCAGCGCCACTTCTCATGAATGAAAGCAAGCCGAGCGCATAGCTCCGGCGACCCTGGTTTGCTTCACTTCTGGAGCGAGATGGCCCGCTGCCTGACGCCGTGGCTGTGCGCGGTGAGCGCTGTTTGCCTGCTGGGTGAGTGCCGCGTTTTCTTCCCTAATTCAGGGCACATTTTGTGGGGGGAAAAATAAACAAAACAGCGCGACTGAACTGCAGATTTACAGCCTTTGTAACGCTGATTGTAAAATATCACGAAGGCGCAATGTAGGAGAAGTAAAGGATTTTTATGACCTTTAGAAAGTTTCAGATTCACGCTCATTGAAGAAAGGAAAACAATGCCACGATTTGGCTTAGTTACTTTTAATGTTGTATTAATCTCCTACCCCCTATTTATTATTATTTTTTATTACTTGATAACAAATTAACATTTTTGTTTAACAAATGGTCTCTGTTCACCACCCTGAGAGTTTGCAGAAAATCGGCTCGCATGTTCACGAGAGTTCGTTGTGCCTGTCGGGAATAAACGAGCATCCCCTTCATCGATCCTATGCCATACTTTGTATATTCCTGCTCGGCGTATTTAAAAACAGGACAAACTGTGCCCATGTTTGTAAACAGCGTCGTCGGAGAGGGTTGGAAATTTTGGGGAATTAAAGGATCATCCTCAGTTGCTAGAATCTGCCTCATGTCCGGCGATCATGAATTTTAAGCGGCTATGTCTGTATTATTTCTGTCGCAAGCTGTTCGTCCGTACACCTTCTCCACTCTTGAGTCTGCTACACAGAGTTAATCCTCCCATATTTCGTAGAACACCTTTCCTTTTCTTTAAAAAGAAAATAGTGCGATTTTTTTTTACAGCCCTAAAGCAAACTATACAGAGAGTCTGCTGGGATTTATAACTTTCTCTTTGTGATCCTCTGATGCCAGTGGCTAGCAGGGTGGTGTCTCTGGTAGGGTTGGTGCTTCACAGCTCTGGGTTCCTACTGTAGGTTTGATTCTGGACTAGAGTACCTTCTGTGTGGAGTATGTATGTTCTCTTGTGTGTCGGCTTTCTCCAAGTGTTCAGGTTTCCTGTGTCCTCTTAGAGACATTCTGCCTGGGGTTCTTGATGTCTGAAGACAGGGCAGAAATAAGTCGTTTTCTGCTCACAGATGGACAGTGCCAGTGTTAGTTTGCTACTGTGACACTGTGTGCAGGTACATGATTAATATACTTGCTTGTACTTTCCACTGAACTCTGAACATGCTTGTTGCTGAGCTTTTCTTCCAGTGATCTACCACTGGAAAACAGTTTTTCTCTCCTACAGAAACTGAAGATGTTGAGCCATGCTGTTTCTCAGAGGACATCTTGTCCTTTCACTCGTCCTGTTGATACTTGAGACCAAAAACATACATGCCTTACTGCTGTGTTATGTATGTTTTACCCCAGCCTGAAAGCTTTACTGTTCACCTTGTTTTGAAATATGTAGTGTCAGGGAGTTTTACTTTATCTTCCTTTCACATTAATCACCAACACTGCGAGTGCTGTTGCTGTTCTTTCAGCAGCAGTGTAGGCTGGTCTGGTCCAAGTGACAGTCAGTCCCGTATCCCCGTTTGTTCGTTCAGCTTTACAGGAGAAGGGGCTGGGCGATTCGGAAGGGAAGGTTTACTTATTTTTTTCACATGATAAATCTGATGCAAACCTAGCAGATTCCTGGAGCTTCACGGCACCGGCAAACCGACTCTGACAAGCTGTCCTGATGCACAAAGAGTTGAGGGAGTATGGAACAAGTTACCCAGCTGTGTTGTGGAAACTGATTCCCTGGCCTCTTTCCAAGAAACAGCTGGATCAGTCAGCAGCACCATGAGCTGGGTGGTCTGAATGACCTCCCCTTGTTTGTCACTTTCCTTTGGTTCACGGTTTCTTTCGGCCGAACTCCAGCTCCATTGTAAATGAGGACGAATTCAGGAATGAATCAGCCATGCCTTGCTGGAAAGGGAACTTGTGCAGTTTAGTTTCACATTTGATGAACGTCAATGGGCTGCACACCTGTGGGAGACTTCCCTCTGAATCTCGCTTGCTGTGAGGCACTGAAGGGAAATGGTGCACCTGCACGTCTTTCAGAAAGTGTTGAAGTTTCTCTCACTTCTGGCGGCACGGAGAAGTTACATTTGGTTTGTTTAGCTTACTCGGATGCTAGCTGGTCTCAAAGAAATCAAGGTATTTGTGTTGATTACAGCTGGGTGGTTTGTTGCACGCTCCCATAACCCTTGGTGTCAAGATGTTCCTCCTTTTCGTAAACGCATGTCCCCTTAGTTCTTAGATTTGTCTTCCCACTGACGTTCTGGAAGAGGGCTGATCGTTTTATCTGGTCACTGCCTTTGAAGATTTGGTAAGCTCGGTTCGGTTCACCTCATAGACTTCTCTGTTCAAGACTAAATAGAAGTTACTGACTTATTACTGAGTTATGTACAAGGAACGCGAGGAAAGAATTTCTTACTGTGGCATTACGAAACGCCACAGGATTTTTTAAAAGTTGACATAAGGTGTGGTAGGAACAAAGAGGAGAGGTGGAATGTTGCAGTTAACTTTATTAAGTAACCATCACGTTATTGCTGTGTTATGGCAGTTTTAAATATCCTGTTCTAGCCTTAAAATTGGAAGTTCTTTTGATGGGTGACCTGAAGTGTGTGTCCTAGTCGGGACATTTGGTTTGATCCCGCTTCTGTCCTTTGGATCAGTGTAATGGCAGATGGAGGTAGGCTCACTGGGGGAAGAGACTTCAATGCAGTGTGAAACGCGCTGGGCAGCCAGTGCAGATGTGATAAGTTGCACATTTCAGTTATGCCTGCTGTGTTTTGCACCAGCCAGAGCCGCAGTCCGATCGCCTGATGAAACTGAGAGACAAAATTTACATACAGCACCCCAGAGACAGAAACACTCCCTCGTTCACCAGTTTCTTCCTGTCCAGCTTTCTCTCGAGCTGCGTCTTGCAGTCGAGCTAGCAAGAGTGAAAGTTCCAGGTCGGCAGGGGAGGTGCACCGCTCCAGGTTCACCCCCAACCCCGGTCTGACTCATTCAGGGGCTCCCACTCTCTGTCCTGGAGGCCCACAGACCTGCTGGCTGTTATTCCAGCCCAGCTAGAAGGAAGTGGCTTGTGGCCTTGAGGAAGCTGACAATTATAACAGGCACTTATCTGGAGGATCTGCAAGTTTATTTTTCTGCTCAGATGCTTGGGATTTTAATGTACTTGTGAATTGCAGTGGTTAAAAGGCAGCCTCCACATGCAACACGTTTACGAGATGAAAAGAATCTGACAAAATTTTAAATTAATCCTGTTAAGAACATTGGGGCTTTATTTGTGTAACTGGGATCGGAGCCCAGCAGGTGTGTGTGTGTGGCCTGCAGGACCAGCACCGTGAGTCCCGGCTCTGATGATCAGATAAGAGCTCCAGTTCTGAGGGTGCTGGAGTAGAACAGACCTATAGGACCTCCTGGGTTCCTGCTTTGCCAGACTGGAGCTGGACAATCTTTGACGTTTCTCTGTCACACCTGGGAGCCCAGTGTGTTTCAGACGACACAGGAGAACATCTGCAGTATGTGTGGGAACTGACGTCAGAGCTCACATTTACATTTCGCTCCAAAAGGATATGAGAGTTTGCCTCATCTGTTATATACATATGTGTTTTATTTCATAAATGATTGAAAAAGAAAGATTCTGATTGAAAATCAGAGGAACCATTGAAAACTCAGGGATAGTGTTGAATCCACAAGTCGTCTCATGACCAGCTCTGAGTAACTGCATTACTCTGTTGAGTGCCCCTCCCAGAAGAATTCCCTTGGGCCAAAGGCTAATAAGATTACCTCCACACAATCACAGTACTGTACAGGTTCATGGGGCTCTTTTTGTAAGTGTTACTTCATTCAGCTGCCCTTGAGTACACCAGGATGT